GGGAAAACCTGCGTTTGGAGGAGGGGGAGCGCAGGGTTTTTTTTTTTTATCTTACCGTGCAGCAATCCCTCTGGTTTTCGCCGCCTTACATAAAGTGTTTACTGAGCGGGAGGAGGGAACGGCCAACAACATGTTTTTGCATTTGTAGTACTGTACAGGGTGAACTTTTCACTTCCTCTCAATGGCTCTCGCACATGTGTCTATTTTGGTGCTGGGCACACATACAAACAAGCCATGTACGGCACGGAGCCGGGGCCGTTGCCTGCTCCTGCTCCGTCCAGCCACGAGAGCCCGGCACGCCGCCGAGAAACAGCTGGAAAACAAGGAAGGGGAGGAGGGCGAGGAGGGGCTGCCCCAGGGAAATCTCAGCCCTGCTGTGTTTCGGACCCTTCAGCACGCGGCGGGCTCGTGGGGAGATCCGGGCAATGCTTGGGCACCACATCCTGTCGGTAGGGCTGCAGGCGCCGATCCCCCGGCGTCCCCGGAGGGCTGGCGGAGTGGAAAAGTTTCAAGTTGAGCAGTAAAAAGGAAAGGCTCTTTCTGCATCTGATTACGCCGGTTGCAGCACGTAGGGTCGGCGAGTGGGTGGGACTTGGCGCGAGCGAGGGGGGTTTGGGGCGCTGCTGCGTGGTCGGCGGCAGAAGGCGCACGGCTCCGTTCCTAAACCCTATGACGTTGTCTTGATACGGGGGTATTTTTGGCAAGTTTGGCCAAGGTAAGTTTAGGTGGCTGGAGTAAGCAGGATTAAAAATAGATGATATAAAACAAGTTGACTATCGAAACGCTCCATTCTTTTCAAAATAACCCCATCTGGGATGGAGTTTTAATACCAAATGCCATCACGTTTAAAGCAATACTGGCCGAGGACCCGCTTACTGTGCAGGAGGCCCCCGCAGAGCAGGGGCTGGCGGCCCTCCAGGTCCGGGGAGGAGGTTTTCCGGGCCTTGCACGGGGGAGGCGGCGCGGGACACGTCTCAGCCGAGCTGTAGCCTTACGTGAGAACGCCCGTACACGGTTTCAGAAACGGTACAGTGAATTTCCACGGGTGCGGAGCTGGAACTGGGGCTTCATCTGCAGACCGGGGTTGGCTTTTGGGCAGTGTGTGGCTCTGGATCACGAAAAGCTGACTCTGCTACTAGAACTAATTTATAAACAGAAACAAACGCAGAACGTGTCTGCATATTTTTTCCCCTTAGTTTTAGCTAACACAAATTGCTGGTGATATAACTAAGACGGGGGTGGATTCAAATTAATCTGTTTCAATCCAGATGTGGCTGGACTGAAATAGTGAGTAAAAATAAAATCGTCTCATAAATAAGACGTTGAAAATGGAAGAATAAGGCATCTGGAGCAGTAAGTCGTACAATTGCTTAAATACAGTGCTGAGCCTATCCCCCTGCTGGCTAGCAAAAACGTGGTGTTAAGGCTCTAATCAATGGAAAATTAACATGTTGAAATGGGTATGCCAGAAAATGGAAATCCAGTTCCCCTCAAGAACAGAAGTGAAGTACAAACGAAAAACAAGATGATTAAAATGGATGGATTTAAAGATGGGTTTTCTGCTGGCAGAGTTAAACCAGGATTAAAATCTGATTTAAATCAATCCACTTTTGAGTGTAAAGCAAGTGTGGTTTGGTTCCTCTCAGAGGGGTTTTTTAAATGGAACTTAAGTTGACCATCCTAACAGCCAAGCTGCCTCTGAGCTTCGTTAAACCTCCTGCTACCTACCGAACAGCTGATTGTTCCTTTCATCAGACCCCCCCGCACCAAGCTTTGAAAAGACAAATGGTTTCAAAGACAGAATTATTTTATTATCACAGAGCAATCTAATACATAATAAAGAGGAGAAAGAGTTTCAGGGTATTAAAGATAGAGCTTCTGCATTAGAGAGCAGCGTCCTACCAGCACTCGCTGCGCAGACACAAGAGAAGCAGCAATGGAGAGAAAACAGCTTCAGCGGTACACGAGGTACCTCTGGAGAAAGCGTCACCGCTTGCCCCCTCTCCACCGACCCGGGACAGTTCTCGTCCTGTTCATCCCCCAAAACAACGGCTAGGGCTGAAGAGCCTTTCTGGCAGGGCATCCTGCCTCTGCTCTAGAGAGGCCCGGCTTGAGTGGCAAAGATGCAGGCTTCCTGGCCCATGGGTCACCCAGTCCTTCGGCCACGTGCCAGGGAAAGGCCAGACTGGGTTACTGTGTTGCTTTCCCCGCCGCCGCACTCTAAGTCTTCCCTCCTCTGTAAACAGTAAGGTGATTCTCCGAGTTCTGTAAAACTGATCCTACCTTCTAAGTTACAGAAACTGAGCCCTGCCAGCCTGTAACGCTGCAGATGACTTAAAGAATCCCGTCATTTCCATTTACTGGCAGCTTTATGGGGGATCCCCACTCTCAACTTAAAAAAAAAAAAAAAAAAAAAAAAAAAAAAAACCA